GAAGGTTTCATAACACAAAAAGCCTTTAGCTGACTCCTGAGAATCGATTCTAGGGTGTCCACATACTTTTGGTACGCACTGTATTAGTATTAGCGCAGTTTACGAGCAACTGGGAAGAATCTAAGCGAGTTTAGTCTTGTATCTCTGTTAAATTGTACCCATTGTTGTTTCCGAGTTAAAAACTAATTTTAATACCGGTTTACCACTGCATGTCATTTGCTTTGATCAAATATGTGCATACTGTTGTATGAACATAATTGGATCTTCGCCCTCCACAAAATTTTCCATGCTCTGCAGCAGCGTGATTTTTTGAAAAAAGATTTATTTGGAAATCGAGAAAAGATGTTATGATATAAGTGCTAGAATCAAAGTCGTCCATAGATCATCACTCTGATCACTAAGGTTTTTCTTCAACGCTTTCTACCATTTCTTGGGTAATGAATGAATGGATTTTCCACTGGAAATAGTTTCGGTTAGGTCATCTTGGTCGTCGTAGGTGATTAAGCTGACCTTTTTTTGTTCACAAAAGGGAAGCATTGGTCGGCTCAAACTTCTAAAAGAGGAATATCTGAGGTATGCCTTTTATGCCTCATGAGAACCCACTGATGATTCTCCCTTATGCATCTTACTCACTCGAGCCAATTATAACGGGGAGCAACGAGACAAATACCTTTCCCTTTTCATTCCATTCCTTTTTTGCGAGTTGACGTCATTATCGTGAATACTTTCAGAATAAAAAGATGCGTAAAGACTACGAAGAGATGGAGCAGTCCATCTACAGCCAGCGAATGATCAGAGCGAACCACCAAGCCAATGCGGCAGGCCACGGCCCACCCGACGAAGCGAATAGTGAGTTTGGCCCAGTTAAGGGCAGATTTTATGTGGTAATTTTTGTGTATGTGTGTTTGCTAGCGGTTTTGAAATCATAAACGGCATTAGTTGTTGCTACTAACAGATTCTCCGATTAGAACGACATTTGAGGATAAGTTTAGTGAGTTTATGAGTATTTGTTGTGTTGGTTATCGAAGTGTGTTGGTTTTGTTGCCATCACTGTTCGTTTCTGACTCGAGTGGTTGTGCTGTGGGTCACATGGAACAAATCGAATATTTGTTGAGAAATCACTTGAAATTTCTAGTAAAATTCACTATTTTTGAAGTTAGAATCGGCTCTGTTTATCTCTTTCGCTTTTTTACTTTTTAAATTGTTCATGAGGCACGGCTGGGTATGGTAGAATTCATTTGATTAGGACTCCGGCAACCTCCTCCCCTTCCTGTGTAAGCTTTACGCCTTCCGCTGTGCTCTTTCCACTTGAGACACCAACTTTTCGAGGGGGGGGGGGGTGGGTGTTGGTGTCGCAAGGACATCATGTGGATGTTCAAAAGAAGCTGTTCGAATTGACATCTTAACACTTGACTGGATCTTGGTATGATGACGGGTTCTCCTCCTCCCATCTCCAACCAGCTGCCGCTGCAGCACAATGTGAAATGACCGAGAGTGTGCTAAGTGGGTGTTTATATAGCCGAAGGATCACAATCATGCCATTGCAAAACATTGATAGCTCAAGTCCTGCGAGCTACCCAGATTTGTTAGCGGTTTGTTTATTCCATCAGCTGCCTTATCACTCACTTCATTTTGCGTACGGGAGACCAGCATCCCAACAAACCGACACGCCAAGGTTATGGTGCACAAAATGGACGGATAGACCAAATCTCCGGCGCGAGAAGAAATGTTTCAGCTGTGGTCAAGGGAATGCATATTGCGCTGCAGAAAAAGGGTAGAATAATGAATGGCTGATGCCCATTAAAATGGCTCTGAACTCGAATGTAGTTGGAACGCTGAAATTCCCAGAATGATCCGCCCTTTCTAAATGCATCTGCATACAACTTCGATTTGGAAAAGTGTAAATTACTGCTTGGACACTATTGCTGGCTATGGGAATAAATGACATCGTATCGGTGTTGATTGATCGCACTTTGGGATGCGCCACGCTTTTGAATATCCTTTCGAAAAATTGGTATCGAAGTCAGCTCTTGTTGCATTCTTAGGAAGTCCCCAGCTACCAAATCCGATCCCAGTGGATCCGACAGGTTCGATTAGCGTGTGCAGTGTTTGATCTGTAAACTGTGGACCTGTTAGTGGCGCCACTTACCAAATCCGTCCACAGTCATATGAAACAGCTGAATATTTATACATTAAAGTAATTTTCCATCGGTTAGCTAACAAAAAAAGACCACTATGTTGCTATCACAATAATACTGGCTTATGAGCAAAACTTTCGTCAGGTGGGACTCGAACCCGCACCTCTCACTCGCTGGGCAAGTGCGCTACAAGTTACGCTATCGGGCACTGTTCCGCCCTAACTGTATTGCTATCTTGCTTTCCGTTTTCCAGAAAAATTGTCGTATGAAATGAAGTTACCCAAGTTGCTGACGATCTCTTTTCTTACCTGAGCTACTGGACCGGGTATTGTTGTGAACTCCTCGTTTGGCTCTGTGTGCTCTGGATTTCTATTTATGGTCACAGTGTGTAAAGTAGTGTATAGCCTCTCTTGCATCCATTTCTATGGAGTTTCTTTCATAAACACGATAGTTGTTCTCTGGAGTTGTTGAGATTAGCTCAGCTTATTGTTTCCTGGTAGTTTACACTTTTGGACTGTTGCGACTTCACTCAAATGAGAATCAATACTTCCTTTGCTCCTGTTCTTAGTTTCTAAGCACCAACTTGTGAGTGCAATTGAAGGTTTTTATGCTTTCCAATGCATCCCTTTTTGATTCCAGAAGAGGCGGCGAAACAGCTGGCAGAGCTCAAATTCAAACTACAAGAGGCTGAACGCGAAAACACAAATTATCAAGGAAATGTAGGCTGTTCATTTTTTTCGATGCAAAAATTGCTGGATTGTCCTATCGCTTTTTTGTTATTTTGTTTCAGATTATTCGAATAGAAGGTCAGATGAAACGGTTCAAGGCGAATGCAGAGACCGCCGAAAAGGAGCTCGACGAACTTAAAACTCAGAATCGACAGCTCAAAAAAGAGGTACTGTCTGTTGAGTTAAAGGGGTAAAAATGATATGTTACTTGAGAAATTGACTGAAAAGTGTTGTGGAGACTCAGTGACTCCTCAGTTTATGCTAAGGAAGTCAAAAGCAGCGTCGATTACGTCGAAATTCCTGGTCGAGCTGGATCACTCCCCTGTATCCATCCCTTCTGTCACTCGTCCGGTGGTCCTACCTGCTCCTCATTCATCTAGTTCCTAGAAGCTGCCTTCCTTCTTCAAATTTCCATCGATGAAACAGACCTGCCAGGCAGATAGTGCGAAATTTCGTGAAATACGCCTTTCCCAAAATAGCAGATATGGAGCCGAACCCCTTCACTGTCACATTTGGATTCGTTCAACCGAGAGATTGTCATAAGTAAAGGAAGAATCGAAAGCTCATTTACTTCTTGGGAGATACTTTTCAGCGGCAGAATAACCCACATCAAACAATCTAAACCCACCATTAAGTAAGATATATAGCTGGGAGCAGGACGCCCCACGCGAGATTCAGTTCTTTCGGAGTCGAGTGTCGAGTCTTGTAGAACAAAACTTCCGTTTGATTGCTGTTGAGAAATTTTGAATACCGAATAGCGAAATGAAATAACTATATCTGAAGAGCGCGATTTACTTGGCCAGATCTTCAATATTTTTTCGCGAGACTGTGATGGAAGAGAATTGTGGGAAATTTCTACCTATGCAGATCTACTTGGCATGAGTTTTACAGGGACATGAAAAGATAAGTAACAATATCTTGTGGAGATACTGTGTGCCCTTTAAGGCAAAGTCCAGGATTTCTGCACAAATAAAATTGAAGAAGTGGCATGTACCCACTTACCTACAGGCTCATCAAGGCTGAGGCATCGAGGCTTAGGAATGCACCAATTATGGGTCTTCGCCCAACATCATGGATCTCGCCCTTGAATGGATGCTACTTCGTTTCTCTACCACTGGAGACGTTAGCCCTATGTAACTTCAGATTATGCCCGATCGTGTGTTCGGAGCATTTAACCCAACTATTTGAATTTTTGTCTACGGGGAAATAGTCTGTGGCAAATGAACTCCATAATAGTGTCATAGTGATTCTCGTTTTGCGACGATTCATAACGTATCCAAGCAACATTCGATGTTTACGTGGAATCCAATGCGGCAATACATAAGGGTTTTGGGTCTCGAGCTGACTTATAGGCTACTGATGGAGCTCGGAGGAAGAATGAGGCGTGTTTTCATTCCATAGAGAACTGGAATGACGAATTAAAAATTTGTTAGGAATAAGCATTTCCTTGCTTAGAGTGCGAATTGAATTAGTAGACTGGGATGTTCTACTCCATCTCAGCTTGCAATGATCCAAGAAATCCCTGTTGTTCAAGGTAAAGCTGGTACAAATCTTTAAAGATGCCTTCTTCTGACAACTTTATTTTCCTGCTCAAACGACCGTCTTTGTATTGAAATTTCAACAATTTGACTTACTTCTGTTTAAATTAGTCGGTATGCACAAAAGTATTTCCCAGTGTTCTTTCATTGTCTTTGTCTGTGCTTGACAATTCTGAACCCTATATATGGGTACTGACCCAATCCTGTGCACTGATTCGATTTTCTCGTTTTTATGAACAGCTTAATTTAATCAATTTATACAATGCATTAGTACAGCAGCATATCCGCATAAGCCTGCACTAAAGACCATTGAGTCCGGCTGCTCAGCTGCGTTGCAATTTTGGAGGGGCATGCTTGGAGGCTTTATGAATATTTTTTCATCAACCTTGATTATTCACGCTTAGTTCGCTTTTGATATGATGTCTTTCAAGCTGGGATGCAGGAAGATTTCGACACCTTAAAAAGACCTGTGAACCCATTTGCACCCGACACACTAATGCTCTTCGCGTAATCGCCTTCTACATCACGTAATTTTAGATCTCGTTATTTTTACAACAATAATGAACTAAGAAATCAATTTAAAGTTTAATATCAAATTCAAATTTAGATCCGGCGCTCGCATTAAGGGAGCATCTTCTAAGACAAAGCCAGGAGGGGAGTGGAACTTTGGGGGGGAATTTAGATGTTTAACACACCTTGGGCCTTCATCCTGCGGCTTAAGCTTCATTTCTCTCTTTAAAGAAGAACAGACTGAATTTTGCAGCGACCATAATGCATTTCATGCTGTGCCCCCTCATCTTTGCGATAGCGCCTCGATTCTTTCTTTTTTGACGTTGTTTCAAAAGGAAAAGTTTTACTAGAGACGAAAGTTTACAGGGGCAGTAAAAGTCTAGAGGATCTGAGTATCCTTTATCGCAAGTATTCAGTATCATACCCTATATATTTTCACGGGTTGTATGGCCGAATGGGCGGTCATGTCAATCCAATGGGACAACTTGTTTTGATAACATATACATATGTGATGCTGTCAGGTTGAACGCCATAAAGTGGAGGGTGTTGTATGAATGCTGCTCCGATCTTTCTGATGGAGTTGAAGCAATTTGAAAGGTTGTAAGAGTTGGGAAGTTTTTGTGTGTTCATGAAAGTGAGCTAGTAAATATAGAATGAGAAAGGGGAGGGCGACGGAGGACGAAAAGTACATCTAAAAACAAGTTTAGCAAAGAGTTAGGCAGGATTTGATTTTATTCGCAATTGTTTGGAGTTTTTGTACTCAATTTAACGCCGGTATTGAAAGGACAGGACTATTTTTAGCATAGTGATGAAACAAAGTGTGGGGATGTGTTGTGTTTTTTGACAAGCGCGAAAGCTGGTTCTTTGATAAGCGGAAAGTAGGAAGAGGTGCTTATGATGACTATTTCTGCGGAGATAAAAGGTTTTAGAATTTAAGGATAAGAACTTTCAGAGTGGTGCTTTTATATAGAATCTCTTTCAGTATTTGAAAATATCAGCTGTGAAATGATTTTTGAGATACTCCATTGTACTGATTTGCATGAATGCCAGGCACAATGACTTGGACTCTTTTGAAAGATTCTCTCATAATGGGTGTTGTTGGCTTCGCTTACCTTTCACTCGTATGTCAAGTAGCTTTGCGAAATGTAATGTGTGATTTACGAACCCTTATGTACCTTTGCATGACTTTTTTTGTAGAATGTTTTCATTGTTTGACAATTTACTTTTTCTCGACTTCCGCCAGATGATTTCGCTGCATTTTTGATTGTGGCAGCTGTTTTGAAAAGCTTTTTAAATATCACACGTCATCAGCGTTCTAACCTGCAAAAGTTTTTGTGATGTTATTTTTGCAAGTGAATGCAGCAAGCAGTCCTGTTAGGGGCAATTTTTCGAATATTCTCGATTGCTTGCGATAAAAGGCACTAATATGATGCGAAATAACTTTTTCAAAGATCGATTAAGATCCAGTTCTGCTGCAACCTCACTTTTTCGAAAAATTGATTTTCGTTGAAAAATAGCTCATAGAGCCGTTGTGCTTACGTGTATGACATTCTTTCTGGCACTGATGTTACTGTGTACCAATTTGCGTCTGTTTAGCGCAACACCTATTCTTGCGAAATTGGCAGAATTTATAATACAAAATTTACCCACAAATTATTTAGGACAGTAACAAAATAGGTCAATTCACACATAGTATCTCACATAATTCTTCGGGCTGTTACCCTGGTAACATTATTTTTCATTTTTAGCCGTTTAGCGCCATTTAAAACGTCCATGTTTCTGTTCGTCTGCACCTTCATAGTGATGAGGTAGCACCTAAGCATAAGTTAGGGGAGGAGAAGCCTCCAACTGGGTAGACCGCTCTCTATAATTTCAAACACTCGTTTTCCCACGCTGTGAGTGGCTTATCCACCCCAGGTTCCCCTCCTCCCTATGGGCTCAGGATTCGACATTCGGCTTCGTCATCAGTGTGAGAGAGGAGGACAGACGGACAGAAAATATGCTTCAATAACATTAGCGCCAAAAATGAATGTCGCATTCGTTATCAGGACACCGATTTACCCTTGAAAACGAAGCTTCAACAAAAATGAAATTTTTGAGGTTCACGGTTGAAAAAATCGTATAGTGCAGCATGACTTTCTCGTTTATTAGCAGCGCCTTATATTATGTTGGCTATTGCTTTATTTATCTTCATCCTCAAGTGTTAAAAGGGTGAATGAAGAAGGAGTTAGGATTGTAGGTTCCAATCTTTATAAGAAGCATTGTTTTTTTTTACTGTCGTCCTTCTTTTCTGATTCTCATTTTGTTACGAAAAGACATGACGTCATGACATCTTTCTATCTATTTTGCCTATTTATGATTGGTAGATTTATATTAAGATGGCGTTCATTGCTTGAAAATTGTGCACAAATATTCCTTATTTTTCTACTGACGCCCCAGCAAGTCAGTTTTTCAATCAATCCCCTTGAGGTTTGCTAATGGTTAGGCTATAACTCGGCTTGTATCTATTTAGTAGCGATGGTTGAAACGTGAAGTGACGAGGCCTGATTTCGGCGAGGTACAACTAAAATTCAACTCAGTATTTAGTTGGAGGAGGTAACTGCTCAAGTGCTTGTATTGTCAAGTCACGGCGCGGCGACGCGCACTTTTGTGGTTGGCATGTCAGTAGCCGTTTTATTCTCCTCCCGATGATTCAGGCTCGTACTCGCCGCCGTTACGGGAGTCAATTGAATTAATGTATTGAAATTACGAAATTACTCAGAGATGGTGCCATTGGGCGAAACTCTTAGTACAAACTTCGACATGTTTCTTTTCGACTTCTTCATTCCCTGTTTTGCAGCTTCGCGACAAAGAGAACGCGTTGGACGAGCAGAAAGAAACGAACAAGCATCTACAGAGCCGGCTGGAGAAAATGCGCAATCAGCGAGCACGTCCTATCTGAGCTGTGTCGTCCAAGCCAAGCCACTGCTTCTACCTGGCTGGCCATGTCACCATTCATCTGTGTGGGTGTGAATTTTGTGTATGTGTGTATGCCTCATCGCTAGATTGGCTTCTAGATGTTGCGATTAGTTGCTGCACATCAGTTGTTGTGTAACATTTGTTACGATAGTGAACGGCTTTGTCTCGACTAGTGCTCAATGCTTTATCGCCGTTATATTTTGTAGGCATAATTTGGGCGAAATGTATTCCTCTGAGGCCTATGAGACAAACAAGATGACCACTCTCTGATACGTACTAGTTCTGTAGGCATGCTTGTAGTGTTCAGTGCTCTAGTGTTGCATCGCTTTTTGGCCGTGTAGTTCATCATCGCCCCGTGGAAGAAGTGGTGATGGCGGTGATCTGCTGCTACTCGCGTAATGTCGAACTCACTCTCGACTCTTCGTGCCTTTGCCAAGTGCATTTCGAATTGTTCTAGCTCAGCACTTTATTTCGCGCTCGACAGCTTCTTCTCATTTCGTCCCCTATGACAGTGCATTCATACAGAAACTAATCGAATTGCAATAAATATATTTCTTTTCGCTCTCTATCTCAAACAGCCGATCTGGTCGCTGATGATTTGCGGCCGCGGTAATTCATTGAGGCCGATTCAGTAATTATACTCCACAACGTAGTGCTAAAGAAGCATGTGGACGGACGCAACGATGAGAGAGAGAGCTTGGCTCGCTCCACCGTCGTTCCCGTTGACATTCCGGAATACGGTATCAGGGGAACGCTGACGCTGAAAGAGAGTGGTTTCAAAATAAAATTAAGCATCAGATTTGATGCAAAACAAATTCATTAGAAGGCGGCCAACGTGAAAGCCCTCCCACGTTCTTACAGTATCCCCTAAAGGATTACTCTTAATTGGCAGTGGTGAGCATTGGCACTGGTTTCCTAGCATGATGCAACTTTTTTCATTCTGAATCTGATTACCTGATTCTTCCTTGTCTTTGGAATGCACAACGAGCTTCCTGGAATCGGTATTGTTTGTGAACGCTTGTGGGGCCGTATCGTGGCATGTGGTCGGTGTAGGTGCTATTGGGTCCGGTACTTTTGACTTGCCAGCAAATATGATTCGGATGTCGATCTTAATTCTCTACACATAACCTTCAAACAAAAAGTTAGGTTAGGGTTAGGATAGAAGGTTTTAGACAAGTTGCAAAGCTAGGGCGTGCCCGGTCAGAAGATGTCCCAGGTGGGGGAGGCAAGTTGCCCTCAAAATCTAGGGCTTTGCCTTTGCAGACCAAGAATTACGAGTGTGAAAAAGTGAACGCCAAGACAAGGACAACCTTCTTAGCATCAGAAGCAGCCCACTTCACTGGAAGAGTTGCCTTGTTTAGTTACACGGACTTACCCATTACGTCAAGCACGTCAAGCAGCCTACGCCTCTTAAAAGTGAATCTGATTTCAACAAGAAGTGCACCACTACCTTTTAGCAAGGGGTTTGTTAGTCAAATTGGTACTTCAACGAAAATGTTGAAATTGTATTGGTGTACGTAGAAAGCGGCGACGTAGCGGCAGCAGTGGAGGGCAAAATTGGGAACTTTCATGGAACTGATTAGTCCTTTGAGATGTGTTGAGGCACTTTGAATTTACTAATGACTGATTCGAAATAGGGAATGACTGGGGGGCTGGACGACGTTCACTTGGATTTTGACTTGTTTTGTTTGTTAACTGCTGTTTTAACGCCGCAGTTCGCGTTGCGAATGTTTCACAAGAATGCTGGGTTGTGAACAAAACTTTCGCCCCAGGCGGGACTAGAACCCGCACCTATCGCTTCGCTGATAACTGTGGTATCACCTGTCGTCCCGTTGATCATCGATTTGCTCGAGCGGGCGCCAGCAACGTCTCCATTCGTCCCTGTCGCGTGCTAGAGTGGTCCAGTGGATCCTCCTCGCTCGAGGGACACGAAGTCCTTCATTCCTTTCGTTCAGAGCTTTCGTGAAGAAGTCTGACCATCGGGCCGGCGGTCGTCCAGGTTTCGTTTGCCATGGTAAAGATCTACCCATAAACATTAGTTATCGGGCGAGAACGGTGTCTCTGTACGGCGTCCACGGTGCTCGCTAGATTGTAAGCGGTGAGAGCAACAGGGACGGGTTCCGAGTACCGCCTGGGACGAAAGTTTTGTTCATAACCCAGCATTCTCATGAAACGTTCCGGTTAATGTTTTTTCGTGCCACAATCAGAGCTAGAGTCGAATAAGCGCCGGATGGATTGAAAGGCCCCTTTGTCTTGGCAAAATCTAAGCAGTGAATGACGACTTTTCCTTCCCCTCCCCTTCGCTAGCCATCATAGAGTTCTCGGACTGATGTTTTAAGTGCATAAGAACTCAGATAGGATTTTAATATTTAGTCGTATGTTCAGCCTAATTTTGCATGTTCAAGTCCTTTTTGTCACGAAACTCGCATGTAAATTGTGCGGTGCATTGCGCTTATAATTCTATGAGTCCGTGAAATAGCGCCGTATTTGTTCGGTTTTGTCTTGAAGATACCTTGCTCTTTTTAGTGTCCATTTTCCCCGTACTTGATCCCTATTGGGCTCAGAAGTGTTAAGCTCACGAATGAGCAACATTCCAGGGATTTGATAACGTTGCGTATTGGCGAGACGAAAAGTTCAAGTTACAATTCATTCATTGTCTTTGAATGCCATGCTACATTTCCCCGGTTTCGTAGTGGATTTATTGTGTCAAGCGTGATATTTTTCATGTTGGTAAAAGGTAGAAAGGGCGGAGCTTAGCTGTTCGTAGGGAGGGGCGTGGGCAACCCCGTCCTCATTCCCGTCGCCATCGGTCCTTGAATAGCACAAGATGCGCAGCTTCTTCGCCATCTTCCTCACTCTGCTCGTCTCTGTCGTCGTCATCTCCACGGCTAATCCTCTGCTTTATCGTGCTCCACAGGTTAGTGCCATTTTTGTGTTTTTCTAAGTTTTCCGTCCGCTTCGAGGAATACTCGCTATGAATAATCACCCAAAGAGATAGTTGATTTATGACTAAACGCGCTATATAATCAACTCCAAGAAGAATCTTCAACCCGGCCCCGTTGAGAGTAACGCTCGGATTTGTCCCAAAGAGTAATTTAAATTATCTGGTGATATTGCAACCGATATCTACCGACATGAGGAAGAGTTGGGGAACTCTGAATCAATGTGTAGACAAATTGAATTTGGAAAAGCTGCGACTGAATCGAAACCTGAAACTCGCCACTAGTCGAGGTTAAGTTCGTTCGCTTAACCATTTCCTGTAGTTTTTCACAGTCAGCCTGTTTAATAAGAATTTAAAATTTAGTTAATTACAGTAAGCAATTCCAGTTCAGCAACCCATAACTAAAAACTGCGTATCGCCGTCATTGTTTTGTGGTCCGTGAACTCCCCGAGAACCCTTAGTCACGAGTTGATGCGCTGAGAAAATCTACTCAGGGAAATAGCGCTATCCTGAATAGCAGATGAGTTCTGCGAGATACTCCAAGATTGATTGCTTTCTATTGCACTGGCTCGACCCTGCTTAATAGTAGGCCTCATTCAACAAGTTGAAACCGCATTTGACCCTGAAGGTTTTTGCCTGCCCCAAACGGTTATTGCATGAAATTGTAACCTTGAATGGTAGGGGCTCATTCACATGTCTACTCTACAAATCTCATTAAAGGTCACTCAATTGAGGTTCGGTGTTGACTGGTGGGGTCTAGAGGATTCGTTAAGCTCCCACAACGATGAAGGGCGCGGCATAGTGTGGCTACTGGGGTCAACATCGGTTCAGTGTTCGTAAAACTGCTGAAGCAGACGCTCGATTCAGACCACGCTCATACAAATCAAATCGCGACAATGACATCGGTGCTGCTTCGTTCGATGCTTGTTCTTGGTGAAAGCACGGGAATCTAATCGTAGCCTGCTCATCAGCTGTGATCCGTGGGTGTCACCATTAGCTCGTTCATACTTGCTGTGGGCAATCAAGTCAGGAAAGAAGCTCCTTCACAGCATTGAATGAAATGATAGACTACTGTCACAATTATAATCAGTTCCACTGATATCCCATGACTGACCTTGTTAGGTGCCCCATATTTTCTCTCTTCTGTGGCCTAGAATTCCGTATTAAGCCTCAGAAGCGTCAACGAACACCAACGAGACCAAGCAGAAGGTGGGACTTTTCTTCATTCACATGATTTATTGTAGGGGATTAAGACTATTAGTTCCCTGGCATGGTAAGCCTTTCAAACCGAGCTATTTAAAGCAGTGCTCTGAAATAGGTGATCAAAAATTGGGGCAAAGCTTTGCTCGAAGAGCATAACCACAGCTGCTTAGAGGCATAACCCTAGTCTCTCAAGTTGGCTTGAGCAAGGCATTTATCCGATGAGTACTGGCGCAACTGGCTTCAGCAAAGCTGGAAACTCATTCGACGATGTGGAATACTAGATTCGCGTCATCTAAGAGCTCAAAAATATCCTGCAAAAAAACCCTAAACTTCTTGCCAATTATGCGATCTTTTTGTACTTCTTACAAAAGCTTTGCAACCTTTTGTAAATGATATTTTGAAGCTTGAAGTTTCTGCTATAAATATTTTGGAGTCTCACACGCTGAGTCACATTTGATCAGCCGAGCTCCTGGACCCCCGTGACAGAAGACAGCTGAAATGGGATAATGCTCTTATGAGCCCGTAAACTTGGATTCATTGACGGCATTGAAATGAGTGGTCAGCTGACTCTAACGAGTTCCTTTCGCTGAGATGGCCTTCGACATGCGTATCTCGCACCGACGCAGCTATCCTGCTATTTGGTCGTGACCCAAACCCAATTAAACGAAGAACTAATCCAGCCCGAAACGCGCCTAATAGTGTATCCAACCTCTCTTTAAAACACTTACTATATCGTATTCTGAAAACATGAGCTTCATGACTCCTGCTGTCGAAGGCTGGATGCCGAATTGCGATACTGTAATTTTTCTCGTCCCGCTTGAATGTCACAACTTTTTTTTGCTGGGAAGAACGCCCCAGATTGATTGCCTCTCACATCAAACTTGAACATTCATTCTTCAGAGTACTTCATGCAAATCAAAAGCTTTGTAGATCTTGAACCCTGGTTTTTAAGACCGGCTTTTCTTGTGCGCAAACACAACTTCTCGTTTGACGTAAGGCGAAAGACGGATCTCCCACGTTTGGTTTCGCCTTTTACCCCCCTAGGGCTTATTGTAGCCTAGCTTAGCTTTGCAAAGGAGAAAGTGTCAATAATAAAGTCTGACAACGTTGTCGGGTGATTTGTTGTGTTCTCATCAGCAAGTAACGCAGCACTTCTGTCTGCCTCCTTTCAAAGACCAAAAGCTTGTCTATTTAGCATATTCTTACGGCGCGTTCCTCACCAAATCACAAGCGTTTTGGTTTCGTGAGTGCGCCAATGATCGCTTTTTCGTTTACGGAATTACACCCAACTTACATCGCCAAACCACGAAAAACGACTGGGAAGAGGTTAATGATTTGAAAGCCTTCAAAATAGAAGGAACTCAGAGAGGCACAGTATCGTAGAGTTTAGTTACGACATCGCGTCTAAAAAAGCCATAGTGGTGTCTTCCGTTCCCTTCTCTGTCTTGGCCTTGATTCCTTTTCTTGATCTGTTGAGCTCTTGTTTATTGAGACATCTACTTATTTACATAGAGAAACCTATTTGGCCACAGAAGATGGGAAGAGAAACAAACGCTATGAAATGGAATTGCGCCCAAATCTGGACCGGACCACCATTTGTCAGCTGTCGTGTCAGCTGACGTCAAAGTCCATTGCTTTGATTTCACTTTTTGGGAATTCTGTCTGTTGGACGGACTAAACTTCAATGGGAACAGCTGAAAAAGTTGTTCTTGACTGACCTAGTCGTTAACCTTTCTCAGCGAACCAGACCCGACAAATCGCTGGGCCAATGAGTCACTCCAAGCTCCAATGAGCTAAATACCGAATAATCACATTTGGTTTAGTGAAGCTTAAGCCTTACTCTGAAAACGGTAGGCAGCAGGGCTGAAGCTCTCTCGCCAATCATAATATGCGGCAGATTCAATGGAGGGGTTGATCGATAGGAGATGTTTGCAGAAGGATTCTTTTTGAGTGGTATTCTTCGCTGAGATCAATCTCCTATCCTACCGAAAGGGCTCCTCCAATTTTCGGCATCTCACGTCTCTAGTCCCAAATTCGTTCGCATCATGAATTTGAAACGGTCTGTCTTCTGCGACCTATCAGAGACTTCCAGATAAAATCACGCGGGCATTGGGCTACAAAAAGTGGGCTCCGGAAATTGCTTGTTCTTCCAATTCCTGGGTCAATGGAGCAGAATTTACTTCCTCATCCTGGCCCACTCCAAACCCCTGTACTCCAAGTTGCCTTCAGATGGGTTTAGATCAGCGTTGCGAGCTGATCTCAAACCTTCTAGAGGCAACATGGGCCGCCACTAATAAAAAAAACCTATTATATATGTAAGAAAAAATAAAACGTCCTACTGGGCCGGCCACTCAAAGGGTCTAATCTCCGCTTTGCATATGTCCTCAGATCACAAAATTAGACCTGCAAATATCCTCCCATTGAGCAAATCTCGCGCAGGCGGTACGTTGATTGAGTCGTATTTCAGATGTACGACGATATGCAGTTCGTGAAGAGGAGTAATGCGGAGTTGATAAATGGCCTTATCGGAATGGACCTCGGCAAACTGTCGGCAGTCGGCAAACGGTAAGTGCTGCTCATTGCCAGTTAGACAGACGGCTCTAATCGTTGCTCTGGTCAGATCAAACGCGGAGCTGATCAACGGGCTGCTCGGGATGAACCTGAACAAACTGAGCTCGGCTGGTCGACGATGAGCACTCCATGCATCACAACATCTACACCGCCACCTACCACCAACTACCACCGCAACACTCACAACGCTTCTTTGAAACACCACCACATCTCATCGTTCTTTGATTTCCATCTTATTTAGTCGAGATTTAGTCGTCTGTGTGTGTTTGTATCGGTAAAATTCATCGTCTGTTATGGGTGTTATTCATCAATTTCGGTGATTTCAACTGAATTTGACGCGTTTCCCTCTATCTCCCTCGTTTCTTCAGTGAATCTCTCGCTTCGTTGCGCGCTTTGTTTCGCTCTTGATGTCTCGCCATTCTTAATGGAATATGTGAGATGAATGAAATCTAGATGGTTGAGTATCTTTGTGATCGCCCTTCAACACAAATGGCGAAGGGTAATAAAAGGATCCAGGCAAAGTTTGTAACGCTTGGGTATTTCCATGCGACGACGAATTCTGGGTAATGTGCTGAATTTTGCGTCAATTTGACTCTTTCATTGATTGCTCCACAAGAAAGCGGTGTACATTCCAATGAGTGCGCA